TTGGAGAATAGTATTGAATATAACATGGACTGCTAAGAAAATGAACATGTTTGTCTTGGAGAGGGTGAAGCCAGGCTCTTCTTTGGAGGTAAGGATTCTGAAGCTTCGTCTGACATACTTTGGACATGTTGCAAGGAGGGACCAGTCCTTGGAGAGGGACATCATGCTTGGGAAGGTGGAGGGACAGTGCAAGAGAGGAAGACTCTCAATGAGATGGATTGATTCAGTGACTCAGGTAATGGAGGCAGATGTGTCGGAGATAGTGAGATTGGCATAGAAGAGGGCAGAGTTTAGGGCTGTTGTACATAGGGTCACTATGATTCGCAGGCAACTCGACGGCACAGAACAACAACAACTGCCCCCACTGTCCGTCTCTCACTGAGAGTCTTGTTTGGTTTGGTTTTTGGTTTGTTTTTGGTTTTTTTTTTGCTGATCTTCTACTTTACCAAGTGTAATGTCCTCCAGGACCTGTTTCCTCCTGAAGACATATCCAAAATGCATGAAATGAGGTCTTGCCATCCTTACATTTAAGGAGCATTTTGGATATATATTTCATGTAAAACAGGTTGTTCATTCCTCCCGCTCTTAATGATATATTTAATATTCCTCATTAACACCATAATTCAAAGGCAGCAATTCTTCATTGTTACTCTAATTTCCCAGTTTTCCCATCCCTGTTGAGGCAATTAAAAATACCATAGGCTGGGATGGCCATACCTTGGTCTTCAGAGTGATATCTTTTTCATAGATTTGCCAACTTAATACATAGTGTGATTTCTTGACTGCTGCTTTCACACTCATGGTATGATGCTACCTAATGGTAACTCCATGCATGCAGAGTAGAACTGTTCATAGAATTTTTCAGTCCTTTTAGAAACAGATTGCCAGGCCCATCTTCTGAGGCACATCTAGATGACTTATTTTTCCCCTTTTAATTGTGTTTTTAATGAGAGTTTACAGAAAAGGTGGATTTTCATTCATGCATTGTTGCACATTTTCTTCCTTAACACCCAGTTCCCTTTTTTTAAAAAAATGCATTCATTGCATAATTTCCTCCCTCCCCACCCCTAGGTGACTTTAAGCCACAAATTTTTTTCACCTAATTGTCAACTGTGTAAATATTTGTACCATCCAAGGACTAAGAAAAAGAAAGAAATATTCAACTAGGATTATTACACAGTGAGTTGATTAGAGA